GAGTCTGAGCTGCTGCTGCTCTGAGACTCCTCTTTCATCTTTCTTCCCTCCCTCTTCTCCACCTCCTTTTTCTCCTCCTTTTTACCTTTCTCCTCTCTTGTGTCCACCTCCTGTCCTCTACCTCCACGACTGTCTGCCTTCTCTTTAGCCATCATTGGAGCTTTGTAGGTTGAGTCCTTGTCTGGCACACCAGTCTCACTACCCGGAGCTCTCACTTTAGGCTTTAGTAGCTTTTGATTGGCTGTGGCTGTGCTAATGGGGGTGTGGTCTCGCCTAACTTCACGACCTTCCAGCAACATCAGAGCCTTCGTCTTCTTAGTTTTAGGGGAGGTGACTCCTTCGTGGTCGAGCTTCACGAGGGGCTCTGCGGAGAGAGACTTCCGCCTCACATCACCCTGCCCAGAACTACTCTTGGGCCTGGAGATGGAGCTCGGCCTGGACGACAGCTGGTCGGACGGCATCTTGATTTTAGTTCTGGAAGCCGAGGATGACGATATTGAAGATGATGATGAAGGTCTGGGAGTCAGAGAAGAGCTGGCTTTGCCTGCTGACAGCCTAGAAATGGGGCTGGGCATGAGTCCCGAGCTTAGGCTGGGTCTAGAGCTGCTGTGATGGTCTGAGGAGGGTTTGGTTTTAGGCGAGGAACTAGAAGTAGGTCTGGGTGTGGATGACGCAGCAGGCTTGGATGCAGTGGATGAAGCAGTTATACTGGGCCTAGACATTGGCCTGTTTGCAGTAGGACTGACATTGCTGTTATTCTCCCTCTCTCTGCGCTGGCTGTTGTACGAGCTGAGGTTTGGCTCGCTGTACAGATCCACAGTCAGGACCTTACCGTAGGTGGAGGGGTAGAGCGAGGGAGGGAGAGAACGAGCTGCTTTAGAAGCTGGAGGCTGCACCGGACTGCTCTTCCTGGGCACTGGACTGGAAAGCGTAGGGCTGCTTGTTGGGGATGTAGCGGAGCTCTTTCGGCCTGGTTTTGTTTGGGTTCCCAGTGTTGGCCGGGATGCAGGGCGGGGTTTCTCCTGAGCTGGTTTCTGGACAGAGGAGGGTCGCTCCTGGGCGGGCTTGGCTGGAGCCTGGGGTCTTTCAACTGGCTGGGTGGAGGAAGGTGGAGGATCAGCTTTCTCCCGACCGTCTGAGTTCATGGAGCTCTCTGTGGGGAAAAGAGGAAAAACAATACAAATGTAATTTTATTTCCTGCTTTACTCCGCATTTGCTGACATTTCCATTGTGTGGCTTCGTGACTTTTGTGGTCTG